GAGGGTGGGTGGGGGTCGGGGAGGTGGGAGAGCGGGGCCCAGGGGCATTGGGGCGCCTGGGTTGACGGATGAGGCATGCGTTGGGTTGGCCGCGGGTGGCAGAAAGCAGGGGGGACACCAGCGCGTGAGGGTGCCCGGCACGAAGCCCGCATGGGTGGCGCCCGGGCTTAAATGCATGCACAGCTGGCGGGTGACGCCGCTTTCCGGCTGGGTCAGGCACACAACACGCTCCATCACACTGCAACAATTTTCACGGCATAGCACTCAATTACACCTCGTGTTGCCAGCAGTGAAGGGAATTTCCAGCTTCTCATCCGCCAGGACGTGGGGGGTGAGGCATCCCCTCACCTGAAAGTGCTGTAAGTGAGGCTCGACACAAACTGCTGCAGCTCTGAAGTAATGCCGTAAGCCAGAGGGTCCGCCGCCGCGGCTGCTGTTGAGGCTGACGCGCCAGCCTGGGGCAAGCAAGGGTGGGAGGCAGGGGGGGTGAGGGCGAGCACAACAGTTGCGGCCGTCCCCGTCGCTGCAGCCAGCTTGCTACATACACGCGTGCCGGCGGCCCGCCGCTTTTGCTGGCCGGCCAGCGGGCGCGCGCGGGGCGCAGGGCCGACGCTGTGGCGTCGCGCTCGCTGCAGGGGGCGCCACACGCACCTTGGCAGCCGCTGCCCCGGACAAACCCTTGATGCCTCGCTCCGCCTCTGTGAGGGCCTCCTGCGCCACGCCCCGCGCCTCCTTGGCCACCTCCTGCATAAATCAATGTGATGCGATGTGCGTCGCGACGATGCCGCGCAGCTTGGCCGTGGTCGCCGGCTGGAATCAGGCGGGGGACAGCACGCACATTGGCCGGGCAGCGGGCTGGTGGTGTCGCGCATGGCGCATGGTCCAGCTGTGCCGTTCGCCGGCTGCCACGAACCACGCGCCTGTGCTTTTAACGTGGCCTCGTGCGCGAACACTGCTGCCTTCTGACTGGCTTCCTGTGCCAGTTGACGAGCTTTTTCGGCGATATCGCTGCTGGCCAAGGTGCTGGCCGCTTGCTGCGCAGCCTGCAGGCTGCTGGCGAGCCAGTTCATGCTTGATACCTGATCCTGTGCGGGTGCGGGCGCGGGCTAGCCACGATCTACAAAGCCGGTGTGGCGTTCAGAGCAACAAATCAACCCAGCAATGTACGGGGTATACCTATCAGATAACCGCGTTATATCCGATACATTACAACGGCACACGTGCTTTGAGGGGCCGCGCAGCGTCATCAGGCTGTCACCGGCGCCGACTCAGTGGATTGGGGCCAGGGGTGCCGTGCGAAAGCGCGACGTAACTACTCTCCACGTGCCCCCCATCCTGGATCGCTTGCCGGCTTCCAGAGCCAGCTGCAGTTCGTGGGGGCAAGGTGTACGGGTGAGTGTCGACGGCACGCGGGGCAGCGGCTAAAAACAACCGGAGCGGAGGCGGCACTGTCGAGAGCGTGTTCGCCCGTCCGCCAGCGCCTCGCCGCAACATCCCAGCCGCCCGCCTTTCCAATCGCTCACCCATTTGCTAGGCCCGTCGCGCTGCACGCCGTACACCGTAGGCGGCCCCTGCAAGCCGCGGAGAGGAACGGCACCGGTGCTCCGATCGCCGCCACAGCGTGCCTCCATCCCGGATGTTACGGCTTGATGGCCTCGATAAATTCTCGATTGCAAGCGTCCATCCCATTGCCCCGCCCATCAGGTCCGTCAAAGCATGAGCCGCCAACTCGCACACACACGTGCACCGGACGCACCTGCCCTCGCACGGGGTGCATGGTCGCACCGGCCCGCCCTCGAAGCTCCCACCACGCCTGCCGCGGGCGCCGCAGGAGGCGCACAGTACAAAACCTGAGCCCCAGCAGGACTTGCATTTGCGTGGTTTCTGTTGGGGGTGTGGAGCGCAGGCAATTTTCAGGGCGGTGATATGTGATAAGGGCATGCAGCATGTGCAGCAGCAGCAGCAGCGCCAGCATCACCAGCAGCAGCAGCAGCAGCAGCAGCAACAGCAGCGGCAGCAGCAGCAGCAGCAGCGGCAGCAGCGGCAGCAGCAGCGGCAGCAGCGGCAGCAGCAGCGGCAGCAGCAGCGGCAGCAGCAGCGGCAGCAGCGGCAGCAGCAGCGGCAGCAGCGGCAGCAGCAGCGGCAACTTGGGCTTAGCTAGTGAACTACCACTGCACGTTGTCAGCCCTGGTCTGCACATTCTTACCAAAAAGTCAGCCGCTGCTGCCAGAATTGTGGCTGCCTGCCAGCTAAGTCCTAGCAGCACCAGCGCCGGCCCCCATCCTAAGAGTGCTTGAGGCCCATCAGCCGCCACATCCACAGCTGCTGAGACAACTGACACCGCTGATGAGGCTGTGTCGAAACCTGTCACATCAATTCAAGAGCGGCCGGCGAAAGAGCTTCAATAGTTCCCCTGCAAACATTCGATCACGTATTGCGGTAAATCATATTGAAGCACAAGACATACATGTCCCTCGCAACATACCTGCAGGTCCTAGCGCTGCTGCAGCGAGTTGAAGGGCCTGCCGCCGCTGCTGCCTGCCGCCGCCACGCGCAGTCGTGCGAGCTCGGGATGCATCTGCAAGACACCACGTCGCTGTCGTACACTGCGCGCGCACTGTCTTATCAAGGTTGTACGATCGTTGCCATATTTGTGTCATTGATAGGACCTCCGCTGTGGCGTAGATCTGTGATGAGGCAATCACTTGACTGTCGGGATAGAAATGAAATAACTTCAATGCTAACATACCGGCAGGCCCGCACGATTCAGCGCAAGCCACGGGCACTCTTCATTTGGCATTGTCAATGGCGGCGTCACCTGGTGACCCAGCTGTCATTTGGCGCGGCAGTGCAGCGGTGAGGAGAACGGCTCCGCGACAGAGCACACCGGATCAGGAACGCATGTTTGTAGCAACACTGCCCACAAGTGGCAGGAGCTCAGCGTACAAGCGCCCCCCACACGGAGCTCGGCTGTTGCTGAGCTGGCTGCCGCAGTCAAAGTTACAGGTCCGAAAACTCCCCCCGAGGCGCACGCCTAAAGCGCGCAGCCCAGGCCGTCAAACCCCTCGCAGACCCTGCCTGGCGTGCTCAAAACAGCCCACAAAGCTATTAGCGCCCCCCATCGGCCCCCGCGCGCCCCCCCCCCC